ATGAAAGGGAATTAGTATTTGGAAGATTTGGGTTGACTAATAGGGGGGGGGTACCCCACTATTAGAGGGGAGTAGGGGGTGTATGGGGGGCACCCTTTCTGAGCTTCTCAAATTGCAGATTTTGATAGAGTTTTAATAAGGGAAAATGCAAGAATTTTCCTAGAGAGTTTTTGGAAATTCTAGGAGAACTGTTGCTTTGGGAGAGCATTGGTAATCAATCAGAAGATCAGTTTCACCATGGCAAGACAAGAAAATATTGAAAAGGCAAAAAGAACAAAACTAATTAAACACATATATATTTGAATAATTATATTTTTCCTGGGGGGACAGGGGGTAGACTAATAGGGTGGGGTTTCAGCCAAGAAAAAAAATTATTAGAGGGTGGTGACTGTGGAAATTCATAGTTCAAATTGTTTATTATTGGGGCCTGAACGCTGGGTAGACTAATAGGGGGGGGGTTGCCTAATCCTATGTTTGCATTAGCTAAGAAATTGGCACCTCGACTTCCCACCAGCTTTCCTCGCACAAACGGGCGACGGTCGCACTCGCGGGCGTGCAAATGACCTCATCTCTTCATACCAGGCGAGGCCTGCTGCGCCTCGATGCTTCACGTTTTTTCCATCCACACCCTCCAACCATTCTATTTCAAGCGCCCAATCACCACCACGACGCATACTCAAAAAGTCGACTTTTTGGGTACCTCCCAGATTTACCGTCGGACGTCATCTCTTGCATCAACCCCATGATGCTGAGCCCTCCTTGAGGAGGACATCATTGCCAAAGAGTTTAGACCCAACCAATCATCATCAAGGCAGGTACCCAAAAAGTCGACTTTTTAGGCGCCTCCCAGATTCGAAAACGACACCTACTTCAAAAGTCGACTTTTTGGGTACCTCCCAGATTTACCGTCGGACGGCATCTCTTGCATCAACCCCATGATGCTAAGCCCTCCTCCTCTAAAGGATATCATCGCCAAAGAGTGTAGACCCAACCAATCCCCACCAAGGCAGGTACCCAAAAAGTCGACTTTTTAGGCACCTCCCAGATTCAAAACAAGACAACATCTGTTGTGGAGATCCAACAAGTTAGCGAGATGACAGACTCTTTCTCAATTACACCCGGGACAAGAGGCGATCCCACAGATATACTCCGAGCCGTTCTGCTCGCACACCACGCCAGGTTGCCACTTCACTCTCCTGGCGCGCTGCCAGAAAAGTCCGCTGCGCTTTCGTTAGCTTTCGACCACCTCCCCCTGGCCTCAAGTTTTGGTGGATGTGGCTGTGCTCAGCTCAGAAAGTGTCGAAATCATTCCCATTGCGCGGCGCCGTGCAAGTTTTGCTGAAGCGCAGTACTGCGTGCGCGTTGGAGGTTTCGTGGCAGGCGCAGGGAGTCGTGATGTTGCGACGCTTGGTGGAGGTGAATGTCGCTGCGACAGTGGGACTGGTGTGTCAGCCGGTGTGGTGTTTAGGGGCTGGGGCTGCGAAACTGCTTGGCAGGCAGCACTGCTTGATGTGTTGGCTCTCGCTTGCTTTGGAGACTTGACACGGTTGACAGGTGAGTTTTGGACGAAGTCTCGTACGAACCGCTCGTTTTGAAGACTTGACGTGTGACTTATGGAGGACGTCTCGTGCGAAACGCTCGTTTTGGAGACTTGACACGTGACTTATGGAGAAAGCCTTGTACGATACCCTCGATTTGAAGACTTGGCGCGCGCGTTTTGGGGGAAGTTTGTTGCGAAACGCTTGTTTTGGAGACTTGGCGGAAGCAAGAGTGTCCCACGAGAGTGTCCTACAAGAGTGCCCTGCAAAAGTGTCTCCTACAAGTGTCCTACAAAAGTGCTCAAAAGTGTTCGGCAAAAGCGTCCCCGTCCCCCAAGAGAGTCAAGAGTGTCGCCACAAGAGCGTCCCACAAGAGTGTCCCGCGAGAGGGTACAGTACTCACTGTTGGGCCCGTTGACGGCCCGTCACTCGTGAGACCCCAAATGTATCAAAGTGCTTAAGGTATAGGTCGTCCCAACGGTCGGGCTGAGTTGCGTGTGACTAATCCAAGTTTTTTCCAGAAGGTTCCTCAAGGTACATTGCGCAGATGCTACAAGTGAGTCTAGAGTTTAGAGTCTGGAGTAGCTGTACTGTATAGTTTTTTGCATGTAGCAACTCTCAACCTTGTGGCCTGCCATGCGCTGCCCACCCCGCCCCCATGCCTGACAAACCATGTGCGCGCAGATAAGGCGTTGTAGAGCGATGTGTGCGCGGAGGAGACATCTGTGTGTGTGCGTGGATGAAGTGTGCGCGAATGAGGCGGTGTCCATATTTGGGGTGTTAGAATCGAAGCCTGGGTTAGCAGATGCTCAGTAATTTACCAAGTGTGCTGGTGTTTTTGTTTTCTGATCCACCTGCAAGTGTGCACAATCAAGCAGAAAAACACAAATTGGAAAGATTTGGAAAGCAGGTCCCTCCCTCGAGTTTTTCGGGCAAGCGGAACAGATCTGCAGTTCACGGGTGCTGGCGGGCCATCGACAGCCGTGGGCCCGTTGCCTGTTGGGGACCCATTGTGCTCGTTGGGCGCTTGTCGGGCCTGTTGGGCCCGTTGGGCAACTTGGGCCCGTCAAGTGTTTGGCCCCAGTGCATGAGATTGTCCCACAAGAGTGTCTCGTTACATGAGTGTCCTGCAAGAGTGTCCCGCAAGAACACCGCGTACAAGAGTGTTTTACAAGACCATCCCACAAGAGTGTCAAACAATGTTTGGCCGCTTGATTTCGAGTGTGTCTGTGTGTGTGCGCAGTCGGGTTAGTCCCATCTTGCTTAAAGTAATGTACTGTAGAATTTAAAATAGTTGCCGTTTGGTTTTCACCGCTTTGATCCATCCTAACAAACATAGCAGAGGGATGGCGCACAGTATATCTCAGAACAGCTGGCCTCAGAACACGCTTTCAGTTGAAAGGTATTTTGACGTTCGCAACGTGTCATCCAAATTGTACTTCAGGTAAGCGAACAAACATCATCGTGCGTTGAACATTGGTTTGACGGCTGCTTTGGATATTTTGGATTGTTGTTGTAGTCGTTCACGCAACTGAGATGTTTCCAAAAAAAGATTGCAAAGTTATCCCGATCATGTTTCTAGAACAAGAGATCCAATGAGCAGGTGCAGAGTTTGCTGCAGCGACTGGGACCTTTGGAAGGGCCGCCGGCACATACCCAAGCTGAAGAAGTATACAGGTCATGATTCAAACGGGAATGTCATGGACCACAGGTTGTATCACAAGGGCCCAACGGACTGCAGGCCAGGCCTCAAAGCAGTTCAACTGTTTTTGGTTGTTTGTGGATTTTTTTGAACACATATTGCTACAGTGGTTTCTACTGATTGGGCCTTGCAACACGTTACAAGACGCAGGCTTTAGCATGCTTTCAGAATGCGAGCGATGCCAGGGCTGCGGCCATGACCTGACCAGAACAGACTCTTTGACTGCTGTTTAACATTGTTCAAGTGTTGTGAGGTTCAGACGCTGCATGGGTTTGACATGCGTTCTGCTGCTGAAAAACAGGCAGCCAACAACGAGGCTGTCAATGGTGACAAATCTGCAAGCTGTTTTGAGTATATAATTATCCGAGCTCGCGCTAGGCCCCAAAGGAGAACGAATGCTTTAGTCTTCGAATCGCAGACGAATCAGGCCACGTTGCAGTTGTTGATGTGACTTGAAACGGACGCTGTGGTAGTGCAATCGACCGATTTTGTGAGGTGTTGCAGGCTGGGATGGGCAGGGTGGGAGTCTTGTAAAGGCAAGCTTTGCAACAGCTGTGTAAATTGGCCTGAAGGTTTCATCAAGGTGTGCCCCAACCCTAGATAATTTGGTTGCCTTGAAGCATAATACGGAGATGTGGTGCATGGAAAGGAAACTGGGGAGGTTTACACAGGGAGTTAAAGTGTCAAGGGATTGAATGATTGCACTGCACGTGGCTCAGGAATTTGTATATACTTTGTTGTGTTTGTCTAGCTGTAATGAATATAATGGATGTATAATTTGTTCTCCTGCTGCAATTGAATTGGCTGGACACAAGAAGTAAGTTGACCTGAGACCTGGGCCCTGGATGTCCCTGGTGCAGGTTCAAAAACTGCAAGAAAGCGAAAGTGATGTTCTGAGCAATGAGCAAGCAGGAAACTTTGAACAGCATACAAACTTGGCACTTCGAGGCTGAAGGCCAATGGCATTTTCCTGTGGCCTTTGCCCCAAAACTGGGCTGAGAAGGAGAGGCGTTGTTTTTGGGAACGGGTTCAGTTTTTGATAGCTTTGGTATCGCGTAACCGAGCATCCTCGTAGTGCTTGCACCCAAGCTGTAGGATGTTGAGCTATTGGCATCGCGATATCCTCATTGACCCTCATTGACACATCATGTCTTCAGTGATGGCTCTTGCAAAGGAAACGTGATTAAATTGAATGTGGTCACAGGCCATTGTGCCTTTTGAACCATCAGTTGTTGTACTCAGGCCTTATGGAACTGTGCTACGCACCAAAGTGGAAGGTATGGCGAATGGTCAGAAAGGCCTTCAGAAATCGGAAAGCGTTCAGCATGTTCCAGCCATTTAGCATCATTTAGGCAAACCTTGAGTTAGTCAATGAGAGTCAAGCGGCAAATCGATGCAGAACAGTGGAGATGTGTGGAGGACGTAGGACAAACCTTATAATTGCAGATGCAAAAAGAGAATGCTCAATGCAAATACAACAAGTCTTAGCTGGAAAGGCCCTGTTTCCAACTTGATTCATATTAATATGATATGATGATATATAATATAGTGCCATTTTTTCGGCCGGGGTGTTGCCCATTTCATTGTGAACCACCCCCAACCACTATGCGCAGCGAGGAGTTCTGATCGATTTTCTGAAGCCCAGTGCTGCGCAGGGGCCTGATTTGGTTTTGACGACGGGCTGGAAGCACCATGTAGCGCCTCATATTTCTGTTTTGTTGGTGCTGTTTTCACGCAACGGTTTGAATGCCTCAAGGTCTGCTGCGCAAGCAGCTCTAAATGGTTTGTCCCTGATGGGAGCCTGTGTCTCAGACAGGACTTGGCCTTGACCATTCTTGACTCTTAAGTTGCTTGACGTTTGCGGGGCATACAACCTGTTTCAGAAACCTCGAGAAACTACGTGTCCTAAACGATCCACACTACAGAAACCACGTTTCAGAAACTGCGTTTGAATGCGTGTAAGAACCTGAACTGTGCTGCGCTTCACTTCAGGAACTATTTTTCGGAAACATTCAGAAACTACCTTTGAGACTCAATGAACTTTGGGGGGTGGGGTGATATTTATCGAGTTTGCTTTGCCATGGATGGGGGTTTGGCGGGGCTGTGTTGGCGTACGTTGTGATGAGAAAGCTAAAGCGCCACGACTGATTGCCCTACACAGGGCATGCAAGACAAAGCTATAAATGTTCAAACCTGTTGCGCGCAGCGACATCTGCTGCCAGATCATGATCTGACGCAGGCCTCATGCCCCGCTTCCCGCCCCAAAGATGCAAAAGACAGGGTAGCATGTCCCCACACAGCCGTGCGTTTATAATTAACATGTTTTTTGGTAACCCTGTTTTATGTTTAATGCGTTTTTTTGAAAAGGGCTTTTGAATTTGAAAGCAACCACAACAAAATGTTGTTCCAAGGAGAAGTTCAAAAGCTCCCACACTTTGGAAGTATCGCGACAAGATGTGAACATCGCTGAAAGAGCTGATTTTGCCTGCGCTCTTCGATTGGTCATCACGCCTTGCCTGGATTCATTGTTTGTTTCGCTTTTGGCAAAACTAGGGAAGCTAGGATCATGATACTATTTTCTCAGCCCGACTGAAACCCTCCCTTTGCACGCGTTGTCTTTCATGCGTTTTGGTAGCCCTCACGTGCGCTTGCCCCCAATCAGCAGTTGGCTTTTTGTCTTTCCGCTGAAAACCGGTCATTCCGGCACTGGCGTGAACCAGCGAAGCGTGAACACATCAGCTCTAGTGGGCTTGCATGAACGAAGCATGGACCTGAGCCGGCAATGCGACGAACGGAGGGTGCGGAGCGCACCACAGCATGGAATGAAATTCAGCAGTTGGCTGAAAGGAAACTCATAAGTGTAGGCATGCCTCGCGCAGCCAAATACCCAGCCTAAAGTGCCTACAGGGCCAACCTTGGCGGACGTCGCGGAAGTTTAGTTTTTTTGTTTCCACCCTTCATACAGCCCAGCGCGTATGGCGTACAAGGGTTTGACTTGGGTTTGTTGCGCGAAAACGTGCTCCTCACCACTATCAGCGTTCTTCGGGCTTGGAGGTGTTTTGAGCTTGAGTCAACTGAGCTCTCCCAGCACACTTACTCATTACAGGAAACACCTGACCCTGACCACTTTGAGTGTATTTTTGGGAGCCTCCCGCCTCACGCCGCGGGCGCGAGCAATCTTCCCTTGAATAGAACATACGCATGATTACCCATGGCTTTACTCTCCCAGAAATGCTTGGTGTGTGTGTGTGTGTCAACCCCTGTTCCTAAGGGTTTTGGTTTCTTGCATACGGCTAAGTAGCCACATGTCCACGTCTTGCAGCTAAGTATTCACAGGCCGGGCATTTACACGCATAGGCACACACACAACCCCCCCTACCCCTGGGCCTCGTTGCTACCCCACCCGCTTTTCGAGCAACAGAAGGAAATCGCACTCAACACACTTGTGTGTTGGTGCCTTTCCTTCTGTTTCTCCTAGCTATTGCTAGCTACCCGGGCGGCTTAAGACAAAATGTCCCGCTCGCGCTCTACTTTCATTTAACTAAGTGGGCCTCGCAACTACACCTATCTTTCCTTCTTGCCCTCTTAGTCTGCTTTTGTTTT